GGGGAGCCGCGGCTGACCGGGGGGCGGGGCGCCCGCGGCCTCCGCGGCCAATCGGGTCCCAAAACAAGTGCACCTCATGTTAAGAAGCGGACGGAACTCCGCCGTGACTTTTCGGAGCCTATATTCCGCATCCTGCAGAGGACAGCCGCGGAAAACCCGCGACAACAACAACAACAACAAACCACGCTGCCACGTGCGGGTCCACGCAGAGAGAGAGCTTCAGATTCCCTATTTTATTTTATTTCAAAAGAGATAAAATTATTACAAATACAGCTTAGACCGGAAAGAGGATCAGTCTACATTTATTTTGATGCCACAGAAATATTTTTGATTCAGTCATCATGTTTAACACTTTGGTAAAAAGCTAGCAGAGCAGATCTAAAGTCTTTAAAACAATCTCAACATGGTTACAAGGTTTTATGCACAAAAAAAATCAGTGACATGATTGTATTGGATTGATGTAAACAGCAAAACTAAAGTCTTTAAAACAATGTCAACTTGGTTACAAGGTTTTATGCACAAAAAATCAATGAAATTATTGTATTGGATTGAGGTAAACAGAGTCTCAGATGAAAAGCGGCACACAACATAATACATCATGAAATTATTTAATTAAGAGCAGTGTGTGAATGTCTGAACACACCTTTACTTTTCTATAATAATGAACAGAAACAGGGCTTATAATCAAAAGCTCCTGATTATCTGATCATCAGCAGAGTGGGAGCTCGTCTAACCGAGCAGAAAAACCTGATCACGTCATTCCCACAATGTGAAGTCCATCAACTACCTCACCTTTAGGCTCGAAAAGCTCAGTTTAGGCAACTAGAACCAGAAAACGTTTCGCCTCTTATCCAAGAGACTTCTTCAGTTCTAGATAACTTCACGTCCAGTTGCCTAAACTGCACTTTACGAGCTTGACAACGACCTGGATGACTACGAATCTTCACAGGTAACCTCAACTTTTATTTTCAAAACAGTTAGAAACCATATTAATTTTCTACTCTCTTATAAACTTAATTTAAATAAGCAAATAATTACTAATACAATTATCTTTTTATTTAAAAAAAAGAAAAAAGGTGGGAACACCCATGAAATGTATGACAGTGTACACAGAACATTTTCAAATCCATTTGCCGATTGGGATTAAAAATGTTCACACATAATGCTGTGATTTCTTAGTTTAGACTCAGATATTCTGATGCTGGGCCTGAGTTTCCCGGTGCTCGTCCCGTTATTTGCAGCAGGCGGAGGCCGGCGTGCTGCAGCATCCCCCTGTGGCCGGACCAGAGCCCTGCACAGCCAGCTCAAACGGATCCACGATGCCTGCCTGTTCCACAAATCAACCAGGCAAACAACATCAGGAGGTGAGAACACGTACACAAATTATTACATAAGACATCGTATATCGAGGGGTTGCTGTACAAAATGTGTTTTTTTTATGATCAAGTTACCAAAGTGCGACAAAGTGAGTCCTTGAATCTACGTTTGCATCTGCTGTTCTCAGCGTAGTTTTAGTTGTTGATTGCATCTACAGTTCAGTAGCTGAGCCTTTATGAGGAGCAACAAAGGCTTCGCATCAGCGTTATCATCAAAAAGCACGCTGATTACAGAAAAAAATATCTACAATCTGATTGGACCAAAGAGCAAAGCATGAAACTGATTTGAACTAATCGCCGACACTTATTTGCTTAATTTCTCACAAAAACCTAAATCTTTTGACAGCAGGACAAAACTGTCAACTGTTGTGAAGCGGGTGAGGCTTGGGATTAAAGCGGAAATGGTCTTTATTGGTAAATTAGAGTGAATGTGTGCTTGCACTGCTTGGCCCTAAGAGCTGATAAGATGGCATTCCATTAGCTGAGAAGAGAACATTCCTTCCTGTTCAAGGTTCCCCAGCGTGACGCCGCCGTCTGGTTATGACTCTAAGACAGCTGCCTGACCTTCTGCGTGTGGATGTGTGCGGATGCATGTTTCAGAGGAGTGTGAGAGTGTGCAGCGTGCGTCCCGGTGCACACGTGTGCGGCCGGGGCTGTGTGCACGGCGGGGCTCTCTGGGTGTGTCATCCACTCCAAATTGATCCCAGAGACACACTGACCTCCAGTGCGTTAATAAATAAATAAATACTATGTTTTTTTTTCTCATCCAAGAGCTGGAAATTGAGACTGACCTTGGGTCTGACGCCGCAGGACTTATCGGAGCCTCCCGGCGGCTGGAAAGTGAAATCTCCGGCAAATCTGGAATTGGACAAGATGGCAGCCACGTCTCCGTCCACCTCCACCACCTCGTTGGCCTGTGAAACGCACCCAGGTTGGACTTTAGAGCAAAAGCAGATGGGCTTGAACCGTGTTTTCGTGCGGCTTAAACGGACCTTGAAGGCGTACTGACAGTCGAACTGAAAGCGCTCCTCAGCCCCGGTTATGCTCCCGTTATAGATCACCTGACAGGCCTCGGTGCTGCCTTTGGGGATCTTGAACAAGCGGTATGTGGCAGAAACAAACTTGAAGTCACCTGTTCTGGCAAAAGGTAGAAAGTTTCCCCACTTTAGGAATGTAACTGACTTCGTGCGCGGACCTTTTCATATTTTCACGCTTTTAGTCAAGTCTCAAAGATGGGTTAAAAACATACCATTCATTTTCTTTCATCAAATGCATAAAAAAACATTAAATTGGCTAATTTTCTTATTGGAAAGATGAAAGGCCAAAGGCCACATGAGTGATTCAGGGCAGAAATTATTTTTATAGTTAGAGGTGCCACCACCTGCAAACCCAGAGCTGCATGCACTCCTGGATGAGTCACCATTCAGGAGTGTTTTAGCTTTTAAGGGAGAACTGTGGGATTCAGTGGAAGTTTAGCTTTCGAGCTCAATGTAACTGACAGCTAGCAGGAAGCCAGCTCCTAAGTAAAGAATGAAGCAAATGAATCCAGACCCAGGGCGTCCTGCAGCTCCTGGTTGTCCACGGAGACGATGCTGGCCGTGACCAGCCGGGGGGGGCTGAACCCGGCCTCAGCGGCCAGCTGCAGCAGATCCCTCCACCACAGCGCCCCGCCCAGACACTCACCTGCAGAGAAAACGCACTCTGAGGCCTCTGAGTTTGTGACAAGTCTGGTCTGTAAGTCTTTCATCTATCCTGCCGTTTTTAGAATTTCGATTCCATTGACCTTTTGGTGTTCTTACCTGGTCTTTGCCATCAGCTTTGTCCTGAGAAAGTTTGCTCTACGCTCACAGTCGTCCCTATCTGAATGGTTTAGCCGTCTACTATCCTCATCTGTCACCGTAACCTACATAGTTTTGTTTTTTATTTGGTAAGAACCAGGAGAGCAGCTGCCCAGCAAATTCAGCAATTGAACCTTTTTTGTTTTGAGGAGCCAGCACTTGAAAAAGTACTGGTTTGTCTTATTTGGGAAGCCTTTCTCTCCTGGCTCTGATTGTGCAAACAGATAATAATGTGTAATGTGCTTCACTCATACCAAATTAACCATTAAAGCTACCTGCAAACAAGTAGCTTTAGTGATGTTTGAGTAACTGTAATTAAGCATTAATGTAAATATTCTGCTAATCTGCCACAAAAAAAGCATCATCCTGACAGGTGTGTCTGAATTAAGTGCAGCAGGATATTAGTCCAGCTCACCCCACAGAACTTTGTGATTTTTAATTTCCTCTGTTAGTCTTCCAGTGGTGTAGATATCGCTGAAGTACAGCTCGCCCCCATCCTGAGGAGAGGAGCGAGGTTTACCATCAATAACAGAGCAAAGTGCACCGGAACCTTTATGGTTCCCGTTGTGGTAATGATGATGGAAGAGTGGAGCCGTGCACCTTAAGCACACTGTAAGCTTCAGCCAGCACCCGCTTCTTATCTGGAGAGAGATTCACCACACAGTTGGAGCTGAACGACAAGAGAAGATGAGCAACGTTCACAACTGAAAACAGCTACAACTGGAGAGCACCAAACATTTGTGAGGGACAGAGGGAGAAATCTTATATCTCACATGATGATGTCGAATGAGTCCTTTTCCAGACCCGCCTCGGTTAAGGCCTCGATGTAGCCCTGAACAAAACTCACATTTGGCTTCTTGAAGCCAAACTCCTTCATGTGGTAGTCCACATATTTTCTGGCCAATTCAAGCTGGAAGAAAGTAAAATAAGAGGTCAAGTCCACTAAGGATGAGCGCAGAGCTTATTTTAATTCTCTTATACAGTACTTGTTTTTATGCGAGTAGGGACTGCATCATTACCTGACCCTCGGTCATGTCCACCCCGGTCACATGCCCCCCCTCGCCCACCAGCTGACTCAGCATGTAGCAGTCCCTCCCAGTACCGCTGCCCAGGTCCAGAATCCTGCAGCCCTCCAGGCTCTCGGGCACCACCAGGCCGCACCCATAGTACCTGTGGGGGGGCATATCAGTGTCAGAGGGCTTTGCAGAAGAGAAAGCGCACGAAGTGGAGCTCACTGACTTAGAGGTGACTTCAGGGTGGACTTTCTTCAGTGCCTGCCGGACGTGAGGGGGGGTGGGCTGGGCTGGAGCCTTACAGGCGCTGGTCTGCAGGTCTGCGCTTTGCTTCACCCTGTTTCCATAGTAATCCTGCTCCAGAAGATGGTAGTTTGTTTAGTTTTTTTTTGCTAGTTTATTTATTAAGGCTAATAAACATCAGGTTTACTCTTTTCTCTTTAATAAATTGGTAGGAAAATACAGATTAACACTGACTGGTGTAACTGATGGCCAATTGTTTTCTATAAAAGCAGTCTTGCTTTATGGGACACTCAAAGAAAAAAGAAGCAAATTGTTGATATTCTTGAAAGTAGAAAAATAAGTTAAATGATTTCCAGTCAGTGAATTTAGCCATGCTGCTAAACGTCAGTATTCAGCCAGGGTTTAGTCTGGCTTTCCTTTAGTTTCTGAAGCATAAGGCTGGCGTTCAAAGGTGTGTTTTCGCCCTTTTATCAACACCATTAGTAACACAAATGCATTTTTATTATAAAAATCTGTTTTTACATTTAACAAGCTTGGGTCATGTAAATTCAGACAGAAATTATCTTCAGCCAATAAACCCAATAAACTAAAAAGCGAATAAATACAGCAACAGGCCTCCTCGTTGACTTTTCATTTGAAAGATTTGTGTCTTTTGTCATTCCCTCTTATCAGCAGTGCTGCTGTCTCCAGCAGGCTGGACTTTTAGGGTCCAACTGCTCTGTAACCCAATAAATCCAGACTTTTTGTCCTCTGTGTAACTACAGCACTCCGAGTAGGGCCAACACACAAAAACAAACTCAGTAAGTTCATGTTTTATGTCACCTTACCTTAACGTCCAGGTATATGTTGCTATCAAAGCCACTTTTCCCGGCCAAACTAAAAAAAGAGAGATAATATAGTTAAACATTAACTTTTATAACGATGACATTGCTTCGTGGTAGCATTGCTAACTTAAACGGTTTTCAAAAAAGCAGCTAATTTCAGCTGTAAGCTTGTAAAACTACACAGGTAAAGAAATTATTGTTAATGTTAAGTCCTTATTCTTTCCAAACAGCCGTTGACGTTACGGTTTACGTTACGTGAGGACGTTGTGAATAATGGCTGCTGGTCTCGACGTTTATCGACGGTTTAAAGCGACTCCACAGCTGGACGGGGCTCTTACCTCTGCTCACCAGCCATTATCTCACGCGTTTTTACTGTTTGGGTCAGGTGGAATATTTGACAGCTCGCCTCCTCAGTGCAGACCAGAGTAGCCCAGGTTTAATGTACTTCCTCTTTAACAACACGCCCATTCCGCCGGTTAATTCCGGAAACAGACGAACGAAGCCGAAGACAAAAACAACATCGGCGAATCGGTGCTGCGCCAAAACAGGACATTTCAAAATAAAAATGTTTGTAGTGTCTTGAAGTGTTTGTAGTGTTTGAAGTGTCTGAACCTTCAAACGATGTACTTCAGTCCTTGAGCTTCTTTAGGCTGAGTAGGCTTTAGTTTCCGGCCCTGGTGTTTCATAAAGTTAACTGAATACTTCTGTAGATATAAAAAGTTGTTAATTAGTTAGTTAGCTGTTTATTAGCAGAGATAACACACTGGTTTGTTTTATTCTTTTGGTGTTACAACCCACAACTGTAGGGGGGGCCAAAAGGCCAAAAAGATAAGCCTTGTGTTTCTTTAAATTGTCTTTCTGTGGCCTTTTTTTCTTACATTCTTCCTGTTGTGAGGAAATGTTTTAAAAGGAAACATTTAATGTATAAAAATATACCTAAACACAAAACATGATGTAATCCTGTCAGTGAAGGATTGTCTTAAATAACCCGTACACAAGGGTCCTTGGAATTGAAATTAAAACTCTGCTTTTTCCTAATCTTCATTTAATTTTGCACCTCTTTCCTGTTTTCCTGGCAACAAGTAATGAAATAATGGAATAAAAAAAGACAGATATGAATGGTTTCCATAGGTATAAAAAAAGAGTCAATCCATTTGCATTTTGTAAAGTTGTGCAAAAGGACAAGCCAGAAAGTTTCCAAAGCTTTGAATATCACCAGTGTAGAATGAGCTGGTCTGTGGTTGATGAGTGGATGATGATGGAGACTTCACGGGCTTTTGGGAGCCACGCCTTACAATGAAGTGAGGCAGGGAGACAACAGGGTGCTCAAATTTAGTATGTTTATTGAACATACGTCCATCTTAGTTGATGTGATAAATGGCTTGTGATCAGAACATTCAAAGAATATGTGCAAAAACACAAACTTAGGAAGAAAGTAAAGTGTCTTTGGCAAGCTCGCCCTGATCTTTCAACAAATTTCTTTTGTTAGTCAAATGTACCCTTCACAAAACCTCCGATTAAGTCTCGTAGTAAGTTTAATGTTTTTTCAACAGATTTTAATAATACCCATAATAAGGAAAAAAACAAAACAAATCTATCCACGATAACAAAGTTAATGATTTCATAAAAATTATGAAAGAAACTATTTGGTTCACAAACATGTTACGAGCATTGTACACACATTTCCAAATATAAAGTGGCTTTTAGATTTTTAGTTTTTGGAAATAACTTTTATACATGTATATATTTATAATATGGTATCATCATAAATCAGCCAATGTGAAAAATGCATGTACCACAAGTACACTCCACCCGTTGTGGCTCACAAAATGTATGAATATGTAGAAGAACTTTAGAGTGTGTTCAGGTTATGATGGGAAAAATCCTATCTGCTTGCCATTTAACAGAGGGTTCACATTGCACTTTGACCTGTGCTGTAAATTCTGGGTAAGATCCTCTGCTAGAGTTTTTGAGGGCACATATCGGTATACAGTTACCCAGAAACCTGTGGGACTTCTGGTTTGAAACCTGTGTGCTTTGCAGAGGCTGCATTGTGCTTATTCTTGCAGATCCCCAAAAGTTAAGTCAAATCCAAACACCGAATGTGGAGAGAAATTTCTAACCAAAAGCGTGTGTTAAAAAATATCTGCAACACCTTCAGGTATCCTTGTTGGTTTGTGTGATGAGGTTCAGGATTGCAACATTCGAGCTGTTAAAGGCATTTGAAAACTGATACGGTGCATTCAATGAGCCCACAACTGAGTTGTTTTTCTCTGTTTTGTATCTTCAGTGCACTTTTACAGGTTAAATTTGACTTTAAATCACATCCTGCCTTTAATTCTCCATCATAAAGAAAATACTTTCAGACGTATCCTGCTGTGCAAATCTTTGTTTATCAAAGAGATTCTGACGTGAACAATTGAAGACATCCTCCTGTCAGCTTCCTACTTAATCCAATGGTTAGTCTCTTTGTGTCTGCTGCTGTTATCTTTGTTGGCAAACCAAAGCCATTACACATAAGGCCTGAAATTAAAAGATGAAAAGAAACTACAGAAAAAAGGATGATGGATTGGAAAATCCAACCTTAAGACTGAATGTTGTTGTGCAGTAAAGCTGGTGATGTTGGAAACTGACACAGAAGTTTGAGGTGTGACGTTGCCTATTTCAGTTTTAATCTCTAAGAAGCTTAACTTTTATCTTTTTTGGTACCTTTTTTTTTTCTCCAAGGGTCTCAGCTTTACTGAAGCTTATCGTTGTTCATCAAAATTCAGCACTTTCTTTTTTTTTTTTTGGTAGGCACATACTACAAACATTCAACAAATCAAGTTTAAAAATGATTGTATTGTAGGTAAATAGGTTACATTCCCTACCGTCCGTTCATCCATTTCTGACAAACGCTGCAGCAAAAACCCAGAGAAATGAACCGCAAACTGAAATTTAAGACGACGCTTAGAAAAGAAACTCAACTTTTTAAATGTGTTCTTTTTTCCTTTTGCTAAAAGACCAGTTTCTATAAGAGCTCACCGGGTGCAAAACAGGAAGTGCCTCCGCTAAGACGGAGCCGATGGAGCAACAGAAACTGAAGGCGAGGCGGTTTTTGTCAGCTGAAAGAGCACTTCGGAGGCCTGGGCCTGGCTGGACGTCCCGGAGAGGGGCGCCGCCCACATCCACGGCAGACGGGCCCCGTGACCCGGGCAGAACCGGGTCAGAGGGGGCTGCTGGAGAACTGTTTGTGTGGGCACAACCGGACCCTGTGGGTCCCCCTGGACACACAGATTAAGGCCACTGTTCCGGCGTGGGCGGGAGCAGGCTTTCCGAACCTTTCCGTCTCTTTTTTTGGGCTCCCGCACACGTGGGTTTGTCTAAAATGCGCGCTTTCAGAAAATACACAC